GGACCTACCCTGAGCATGACTGAGGGTGGCATCGCAACCTCCCAATCCGTCCTGCTCTGTGCATGACATGGGGCAGCGCCCCAACTCCCCAGTCGGCCCTGCTTTGAGCCTGACCAGGGGCTGCACCTAGGGATTGAGCCTGCCCTCTGCCACCTGGGAGCAGACATAAGCCAACAGGTCATTATCTCCGAAGGGTCCCAGACTGCGAGAGGGCACAGGCTGGGCTGAGGGACCCCCTGTTCACCCCGAGTGCACAAATTTTTGTGCACCGGTCCTCTAGTATAGTATAAAGCATGAACACTTGGTCCCATCAGTTTATCTTCATTGTTTATTTTATTCTTATTAAAGGCCAGCACCCCTCTTGAAAAACATCCAGTTATCGGAATCCAAGGCTCGTGAGTTATACCTGCAGGTCATTCAGTACATGAGAATAATGTATCAGGATGCCAGACTGGTCCATGCAGATCTCAGTGAATTTAACATGCTGTGAGTATGTTTTGTCCCTTAGGAGCCTCCCATAAGTAGTTTCATGTCCTTTAAAAAACTAAAATTCCAATTCCAAAATGTCATACTTAATTCTAATGTTTTAAAGGTGGCTTCCACTTGGTTACAGTATAGGATTTGTTTCCTGCCTTTGGTGACCTTAGCCATTGAATTGAGCCCTCATGTCACCATAGTGGAAGTGTGCACATCACTGTTGTTTCTCACATCCCTGCTTGTGTGGCTCACAGGTACAGTGGTGGGGGTGTGTACATCATTGACGTTTCTCAGTCTGTGGAGCATGACCACCCACATGCCTTGGAGTTCTTGAGAAAAGATTGTGCCAATGTCAATGGTGAGTGGAAATTGTAGTTTTCTCCCAGCTTGTTTGTGTGTGTTGGTTCTATACTCTGTTATAGTGTTGATATAAAATGTTGGCAGGGAATGGTTTGATGCAATGATACTTACGCCAGTAGTTGGTAGATGGTGTGTTTTTATTTCTTTGTTTCTCTATAAAGTTGTTCCCTTGTAAAGCTGTCGTTAACATTTTTCTTCTGACAGATTTCTTTTTGAAACACAACGTTGCTGTGATGACTGTGCGGGAGCTCTTTGAATTTGTCACAGACCCATCAATTACACAGGAGAACATGGATGCTTATCTCTCAAAGGTGAGATGGGGTAAGGGAGAAAAAATAGAAAAATAGCAGTAGTAATTTGCATTTATGGCACTTCTGAGGAGTTAAATTGCTCCGCATAATTTTTGTTCATTTGACAGTTTCCTGAGACCTTTTTCTTCTGATTTCACAGATGGTTAATTAGAAGGATAGTAAAAAGCGAGGTTTCTTGACTTTAATCATTAGGCAAGATTACATCGATTGTCAAAGATATGGAAATTTAGTAAGAAACTTGTTGTTAGCCTTTGGTCATTAATTCCTTTGTTTCTCATAGGCCTTTCTGAATCACAATTTTTAAATTTTTAAATTGTGGTAAAATTACAAAGCATAAAATTGACCATTTTAACCATTTTTAAGTGTACAGTTCAGTGGCATTAAGTACATTCACATTGTTGTGCAACTCCTGTCCAGCATCCATCCACAGAATTTTTTTGTCTTTTGAAGCAAAACTCAGTATTCATTAAACATTAACTCCCCATTTCTCTTCCCAGCTCATTCTACTGTCTATCTATGATGTTGACTACTCATATAAATGGAATCATACACTATTTGCTTTTTCTGGCTGATTTATTTCACTTAGCATAATGTCCTCAAAGTTCATTTGTGGTGTAGGATGTGTCAGAATTCTTTTCCCTTTGAAGATTGAGTAATAATTCCATTTATGTAAGTAGCACATTTTGTTTATCCATTCATCCACCTATTAACACCTGGGTTGCTTCCACCTTTTGGCTATTGTGAATACTGCTGCTGTGAACATGGGTGTACCAATATCTCTTCAAGACCCTGTTTTCAATTCATTTACATGTATACCCAAAAGTGGAATTACTGGATCATGTGGTAATTCTGCGTGTAATTTTTTTGGTAATAGTCATACTGTTTTTCTCAGTGATTGCACCATTTTACAGTTACATCAACAATATGCCATTGTGCAAGGGTTCTGATTTTTTCACATACTCACAAACACTTGTTATTGAGTAGCTATCCTGATGAGTGTGTGGTGGTGTCACAAAGTTTGGATGTGAATTTCTCTAATGATGTTCAGTATCTTTTTATGTACTTGTTTGCCATTTGTATATCTTCTTTGGAGACATGTCTAGAAAGTCTTTTGTGTGTTTTTTTAATCAGATTATTTTTTAGTTAAAAGAGTTCTTTATATTTTCTTTTGTCAGAAGAAAAACATTAACAACAGCTTTACAAGGGAACAACTTTATAGAGAAACAAAGAAATAAAAATATACCATATGTGCCCTGACTGGGGATCAAACCTGCAACCTTTTTGTGCACTGGACGGCATTCAACTGTGTTGCACTAGCCAGGGCTCAAATATTTTCAATCCAACAGTGGTTGGATCAAGAGAATACAGATACACAGATATGGAGGACCAACTGTATTTTCATATTATCTACTAGAGGCCCGGTGCACAACAATTTGTGCACTTGGCGGGGGGGAGGAGGGTCCCTCAGCCCGGCCTGTGCCCTCTTGCAGTCTGGGACCCCCTCGGGGGATGACCACCTGCTGGCTTAGGCCTGTTTCCCAGGGGATTGGGCCTAAGCTGGCAATCAGACGTCCCTCTGGCAGCCCGGCAGCCCTCGGGGGATGTCCACTTGTGAGCGGGGAGCAGACCTAAGCTG